CCTCTGGAACCTCTGGAACCTGTATCGAAAGAAGAAACTAATCAGCGTAAGAGAAGGCGGAAGACTGGTGATAAACAGAAGGTAGCGGGTTTCAAATGTTGAAATCCCAGTTAATTCTTCTCCAAGTAATGCTCTGATTCAGAGACATTTCTTGCGAAATGTCGCCTTAGTGGCAGAAGCCACGGAGAAGACCATAGGCGAAGAAATAGTTGACGTTGTTACAAAAGATTTCTACAAGCGAGTAGAAGGTGTCAGTTTTGAGATCTTGGAGGAAGTTCTTGCAGAACTTCGCCACGAACTTGAGGAACAGAAACGGAATGAGGTGAAATCCCAGATATATGTAGTTAAATAACTTCATAAGGTAATCTGCTTTTAGGCTCAAGAAGCTTTGCGCGCACAAGCTCAGATTGTTACGCAAGAGAAACCCAGTGATGTTGCTCAGTTCTGCAATCCTCTTGATGTAAGTTTGTTTTACCTCTGTGTTTTGAATTTTTGCTTTCCGTTGCTTGCAGTCTGAATAGCTATTCGTTTACAGAGCCTAAATTCCACCCCAGAGAAGCTTGGTGCATTTCCATTCACTATCAACATGCCGAAATTGCCGAGTTTCCGAAGGGTGAGTTACTAGTTAAAAAATAGATAGAAATCCCTTTTGTGCAAATTTGTATCACACGTTTCTTTCCTATTTTGCTCAAGATCCTTCTTTTTGTTGCATTTTTTGGTCATGATGGCAAGTTTAGAAAGTTCGCCCACCATCACCAGAATCTGAGTCTGACACTAGAAGTCCGCTTATTCGGAGACGTGATGATGACTCTGATAATTCGGATGCTGCTCATAAGAGGTAATTTCTCTCCAGTTTCTCGGAGCAGATTCGACTTTTGGCCTTTTCAGTTCGTCCAGCAGTCAGAAATCTTCTGAATCGTCTGACGAAGTTGTGGTACACAGAAAGAAACGCGTGCAACGGTTACATTCTTCGTCTTCTGTCTCTGGGTAAGTTTCATTTTGTCCGAGTTTTTGCGTAGATAAAGCTTGTTATTCAGTTCGGAGTCATCTAGTGACCTTTCATCAAGCGAGTCTGTAACTCGTAGCAGCAAATCGTCGC